TAGTAGGTTCTTTTCTGGGAAGACTGCTGAGCCTTACTTGCACGTATTATCACCCACAGCAGAGACCATGCAGCTGCCACCATAGCCTGCTTACAATCTCATCACATATGGATTGAAATGTATCTTTTAATCCATCAGATACTTTGGGGTAATCTCTGTACTCACATGGCACACCCCATTCTTTAAAGAAGCATTCCACCTTATGTAGTGGATGATGGCCACTCTGTGACTCTCCCCAAGGGCTCTCTACTCTCAGATGGCTAAGTCTTGGTTGCATGTCTTATCACCTGACAGCAAAGGGGTATGTGACTGCCGCTACCACAAAGAGGCACACCATCCCATATCACATGGGGGAAGATAGTCACATCCACCTTCCAATGGATCAGCCTCAGTTGTATGCTTTGTCAACCCATAGCCGTGCCCATGTAAACACTCCTCCCAGACTTGTCTTTGGTTCTCTCAGTGCCTGATCAGGTCCAGTTGTGTTGCGTGATTTATCCTGAGGAAATGAGAATCTTTTCACCCCAGACAAGACACCAATGATAGACCAAAAACAATTCTACCCAAGTACGTCTTGGTAAACCAGTGAGTTTATTGGAGTACTTACAGGCACATGGGTGACTCAAAGGCAACTGCATACTGAAAAATCCACCTCAACGTGAGTGACAACCCAAAACTGTATCCGTGGAGATTCTCACTCAACTAGCAGGCAGCTCTACCAGAATCTCCCCTGCCCCCCAGAACTATTGATATAATCTTTGGGAAAGGACTTGAAGTCTTGTAAATTTCTGAGTTTCCTGAGCCTGCTAAGTTTCATTAGCTTCTTAGTCTTATAAGCCCCTCTTGATGCCACCTTGGGGTCTTTTCTTGGGTCCATTTCTTGTCCAGGTAAAGAATTACAAGAGGAGACATTTGCAGTCACAGCACACAGCCAAGGTTTTTTAAAGTGTAAGTAACACTCCACACATCACCACAAAGAGCCAGACTCCCCCAAAAAGGAGCAGGTCCAGAGCTGGAGCACTGTCTACCCCCTTGACAAGTCTGGGCTTTTATATTCTATAGGGTAGGAGGTAGGACAGGGTTGGGCTCCTCTTTCCCCCTTTGGATTGGAGAGAGAAGAATGTATGTTGTTGGTTCACTCATTTGAAAGCAGAAACCTGATTGGGTAAAGCAAGGGCAGGAAGTTTGAAATTCCTGCCAAAGAAAGCCTGCTAGCAGGAAAAACAAACACCACCTAAAGGACCAACTTTGGACAAGAACCAGGAAGTGGGCCATCTTGGATGAAAGTGAAAGCAACTACAACTCAGCTGAATCTTGCCTGGGCCTCCTTCCCTGACTACCTCCCTAATTTAGAATTAACTATCTCCTATTCTTCACTTGAGCCAAGAGGCAATGTTCCTATTCAGAGGTTGTGGCCACACAGTACAATGACCTTGAACTCATGGCAGTCTTTGCCTCAACCCACCAACTGTTCAAATTACAAGCATGAGCCACAACGCCCCATTATTCTTAGGAGAGGTTTGGCCACATTCCCCACCTTCCTTTGCAGTTAGTTGTGCCTTTCAGTTGGGTTCCAGCTGCAGGAAGGGTGACGAGGGTTAGCCTCAGGACAAACCCGTAGAATCCTCCCAGCTAGGATCCTCCATGAACGTCATGTGATGTACAGTCCCCCAACAAATTCAGTGCAAAGATACTGTGGTGTCACTCAGTTTTGTCATTTCAGTGACAAGTGGGAGTTTAAAGGTAAGAGGAGACTAAGGGACAGAGACAGCAATGGTGAGCCTTCCAGCTAAAAGAGGCAAAACAGAAGTAACCGCCCTACTCCACTTGACTCTCATCCAAAGAGGGAAAATTAAGTCAGGAGACCCCAGAAGCCACACTTGGCAGGGAGAGATCTGGCTGCTGGTGTGTTATCTTACATGGCAGGCTGCCGCTCCATTAAGGTTGGTTGTGGAACAGTAACGGTTCCCTTGGGTCCAGGGAGACCTTGTCCTGGTGAATATACAAAGTAGAAAAACCAGAAATCCCCACATGATGACTTTGCTGTGATCTTCACTCCTCCTCAGGTGTACTGAAATAGCTCGAAATTTACAGTGGTCCATGCAAACCATGCTTATTCCTAAAACAGAGATACAAAGACTTCATATAACATCACTGGATACACTTTTTCCCACAGAAACGATGAAAATTGATTATGATTGTAGCTGGTCTGATATTTATAGAAATGATCAGAAGTGGCATAGTAATCAAAGTGTCAGTGGTAAACGATATCTGCACCCTGCATAGAATAAAGCTTTGTAAGATGTCTGTAAGTCAATCAAAGCAGGACAACACAGGAATCATCAAATGTAATCCCATCAAATGGGCATCAGGAATTTCATGGGTGGGAGCCATGTCAACTCAATGTTGACTACTCAACTCAGTCTAGATTCTGGGCTCTTTTATGAAACATTCCACCCTTGCCAACAGACTTTAGAACATGGGTGGTCAACAGACCCTGAGCACATAGCAGCATTCTCTTTTCCCTGGGGCTCTGTGTAGGTAGTGGCTGAGACCAAGCTTCACTGTGAGCCAGACACTGGAATTTATACCACTGGAATCATAAAGCCAAATTCAGAGTTCTGTGGCCCTTCTTTAATTTTCCCATCCAGCCTTTCTACAACATTACCTTCATGTAAACTAAAGCAGCCTGGGACCTTTGTAAAGAAAAAGAAATCAAATGATACCAACTTGAGAACAGATAACTGCTGCTGCCTCTTCCTCTGTTCTGAACCCTGCTCTTTCCCACGACCCTGATGGAACATCAGAAGGCGTTACGATCCTTCCCTGGAACAGATACTTGTGCTGTGAAGGAGGGCTGGGCAGCGCATCTGGTGTTCTTTGGGTAAGTACAAAGTTATACAGAATGGTATCGGTACTGCAATGGTGCTTCAACTTCATCCTCAGGGGCTTGTAAATTTTTAAGGAAGATTGTGTCTGGGCACGGTGATTCAGTCCTGTAATTCCAGAACTTGGGAGACTAATGCAAGGCACTTGCCATGAGTTCAAGGCCAGCCCTAGCTATGTAGTGAGTTCCAGGCCAACCTCCTGGGCTACAAAATGAGACTCTGTCTCAATAAATAAAAACAGCCAGGCGTGGTGGCACATGTCTTTAATGCCAGCACTCAGAAGGCAGAGGCAGGCCAAGCTCTGTGAGTTCAAGGCCAGCCTGGTCTACATAGTGAGTTCCAGGCCAGCTGGGGCTACAGGAGACCTTGTCTCAAAAAGACCAAAAAAAAAAAAAAAAAAAGAGAGGAGACTCAAATTACCCAATTATTTAGATTTACTAGATTTCTTCAGCCTTCAGCTCTTCAAAGACACATGAGCAACTATTTGGGAGCACTGTGAGAAGGCACAAGTTCAGGGGTTCAGGGCCGTGAGTCTGGAGTTAAATCTCTGTCCAAATGATACTATTACATGTATGTATGTATATATGTACATATGTATGTATACACGTGTATATGTATGTATGCATGTATGAATAAATTTGGATTATTTTTACTTTATAAAGCACTTTCACTGAGACCTTCTTTTAGATCCACTTTCCTGATACATAGGCCTGAGGGCTCATGTATGTGTTTGGCTAGAAGGCAGCTCAAGTAACCACTGCCTAGCTGTGCAAAGGGAACAGTGCTGCAATTCCTAAGGCTCTCAAGTCAAAGAAAGAGGAAAGAGAAGATGCCCACTGTCACAGGACTGGTAACTACTCAGATGGAATCGGCCATTTTAACCCCAGCTCCCCACTCCACACCAAGGGCTTTTAAGAACCTGTGGAGAAAGGGCCCTCCTAATGGGACCAGTGATCCATGGAGGACTAGGTGACAAGGCCAAAGGAATCTTATGGCTCCAATCCTTTGTTTCTCTGTGGGGAACTGAGGCTTGGGAAGCTCATGGCCATACATAGCCCCTCTTCTTGCCAGTGGACCAGCATAGCATGAAGCACATTGTTCAGTTGGGATGGTGTGAGAGCTATGGTTTTCACCAGGGAGGAGGTTGGAAAAATCACCATGTAGAAAACATAACACAAATGGCTGCAGGTATCTCTGGAGGAAGCTCCAGCATCCCAGCCCTGGGAAGGATAGGCCTGGCAGTTGTGTGAAAGGAGAAGGTGTGTGAGATAGTGTTACTTTATTATGGCAGCAGCTGTGTGAAATGGGAAGGTATGAGACAAGATGAATGCTACCTGGTATGGCACATAATTTATATACATTCTGGGTCAGTTTCTGTGCTCCTTTGGCCACCTGCCCTCAGAATGCCCAAGGTGGCTCTTTCTGTGCCAGCTAGTAGTTCTGGAAACAAAAGGGAAGAAGGAAATGGAATCCCTAGAGAGGAGAAAAGGAAAGGTGCCTCACCTGGACTCCAGGAGGTGTTAGGTCCCATGTGATGCTGTGTGTCTCTGACACTATGTTAATTACAAATCAGAGTTACCCTCAGAATGATCTTTTCTTCAGTGCACACCCCACACATACACAAAGTCTTCTTGCCTTAAGTACCAATCAGGTATTGTTTCTTGCTCCAACCCTCTTCCAGGGTGAAAGAAGAGCCAAGAGAATTGGGGTGAAGGTAGATATAGTAGGGGGTAGAGCATAGCAGAAGTAAAGAGTGAGGGCCAAGGAGAAGCCAGCTGTCTTTGACAGCTTCCCCTAACTGAGCGGGCAGGTGAGGCCGGCTATGGAAGGGGCCATCACTTCCACAGGGCAGGCACAGTCGGGCAACCAGAGCAAGGCCTTGTGACTTTGGAACCTGGTAAGAGCCCTTCATCTCATGGGCCAAGGCAGGCAGGCCCAAAGTGGCAGTGACATTCCAGGCCACCTGTCATTGTGACCTCAGCTGTTCTGCACACAAAGAGGTGGTCACCCTACCACTGACTAGGCCTGTAAGTTGCAAGAGATGGTGGTTTGATCCCCAGGGGGCTATTGTGGGAGACTGGGAAGTTGGAGAATATGCTGGCCTCTTCCATCATGTTGGCCAAGAGGGCAGAACCGAAGAAAACAAACCCGGTAAAGGAAAACTGTTGTTGGGTGCCATGGGGCCTCTGTGGGCTCCTGCCAGATGGAGACCAGGCAGGGAGGACACTGAGACTGCTTCTGCGAACTTTCCATTTTTCTTTCTCTATTCTCAGCATAAAGCCTCTCAGCCTGGAACAGGTGTGGAATTGGTACCTGGCCCTGGGTGAGGAGAGAGCTCTGCTGCCTCCCTCCCTGTAATACCCACTATTTTCCATGAACACTCAGTGTACAAGACCCAGACCAAGCCCGAACCATGGCCATACCTAACTGGCAATTCGAAGGCTCAAAATAACCTTAATAGATTATTAAGCCTATTTTATAGATGAGGAAATAGGGGTTCCAGGACTGTACCTAGGTTGGTATAGGTAAAAGAGAGGACAGCTGAGATTAGACAGCCTGGGTCACTCTCTAAGGCCCACACTCTAGATATAACCCTTCTGAGATTCCCCAGACTTGTCCACAGGGACTCTCTGAATAGCTAACGTGAGCAGGACACAATTATCAACAGCAGATGCTGTGGTGGGGCTCTGCAAGCCTGTACACAAAAGCAGTTGACAGGCAGGGTGCTGATGGGATCCTCTTGTAAGGGTTCAATATTATCTTTCCCAACCCTATGCCTGGCACACTACACCTTGGCCTTTCCTTTCTGCAGAACAAGAGCTACAAGGAAGTCTGCCTAGAACCAAAGCCAGAGTCAACCCAAGTAAGACATTGTTTTGAGACTATGCCAGCAGACAGGCCTGAGATTCATGGGGAGGTGACTTGGAGTCAGGTCATTTCTGTTCTTGGTGGCTAAGATCTGTCCCAGGAGCTGGGGACTTGAGAGAGACAAGTCCCTTGCTATCATAGACTTCACACTGGTAACCAATTAGATGCATAAACAACACGGAAAATGTCATCAACGTTGCCTGCTTCACAGAGAATGGAGAGCGGAGACAGGCCTGGGTGGCTGCTTTAGATGGGGTGGCTGGGAAAGGCCTCCTGTGGAGTAAGAACCCAAGGACAGGATGCTGGGAAGGCAAAGCTAAGGAAGCTTTTTCTAGAGGGAGGGAGGAAGCAGCAAATCCAGGGATCTGAGGTGGGAATAAACTTGCTGTGCAAAGGGCAGGAAGGGTCGAGGTTCATTGAGCCAGGAGAGGAGTGGAAACCAATGAAGCCAGAGAGGGAGGAAAAGGATGAGGGGACTTCTGTACAGGCAGGGCCACCAACAGTTCTCTGTGCCCTGTTCCCAGGGAGGGACAGAAACTCAGGGTGTTCTTTCTAGCCTCTGAGATCCCACCCACACCTGAAATTTCCAGTATGGCTGTGTTTCTGTTTCAATCCACAGACACGCAATTACAAAGCAGTTAAACACGAAGGGCTATTCACCAAAAAAGGGATGACGCAGGAGCTACAGGTCAGTGTTTGAGTCCAGGTGGCCTGGGGACAGATCAGCATGGTGAAGGTTGGCCAACCAGCTACCTGCGCGGACATACCTGCTGGAACCTGTAGCCCTGTGACCTCATGCACTCCTAGTCTTGCTTTTTTAACCTTTTCTTTCTTTTTTTTTTTTTTTTTGATTTGTTTTGTTTTGTTTTGTTTTTTGTTTTTTTGAAGCAGGGTCTCCCTGTAGCCCCAGCGGTCCTGGAATTCACTATGTACACCAGGCTGGCCTTGAACTCACAGAGATCCACATGCCTCTGCCTCCCAAGTGCTGGGACTACAGGCGTGTGCCACCACGCCCAGCTATAACTTTTTATTTTGAAACAATTTGATTTACATAAAAGTTGCAAAGCATGGTTTAATGAATTGTAACATACAGGTCACATAGATTCCCTAAATGCTGGTATTTTATCATGGTTGCTTTTTTCTCTGCTTCTGTCTCTTTACACAACACATATTTATGCAGAGTCCTTCCTATCAATGAGTTCCACATCTTTAATCAACTGATATTGCATTGAAAATACTTGGTAAAATATTGTACTGAGTATTGCATTTTTCTGTCATTTCCTAAACAAGACATTATAACCATCATTTGCATAGCATTTACATAGTATTATATATTATAAGTAGTCCAGAGATTATTTAAAGTGCATGAAGGATGTGCACAGGTGATATGGAAATACCACCACATTAGATTTGGGTAATATCAACACTGGCAGATTCGGGTGTCTATGGGGCTCCTGGTACCAAACCCCCTCAGACACTAAGGAACCACTGTGGTGACTGTATTAGTTGCTTTTCTGTTGCTGTGATAAAACACCATGACCAAGGCAACCTATAGTAGGAAGAACTTATTTGACTTTTGGTTCCAGTGGGGAGAGTCCATAATGGTGGGGGAAGCATGATGACAGAGAGCAGAAAGCCCACAATCACATCTTCAAGCAGGCACAGGAAGCAGAAACTGGAAATCCAGCAAGACCTAAGAACGCTCCAAGTCCATCCCCAGTGACATGCTTCCTTTAGCATGACCACACCTCCTAAAGGTTCCATGCCCCTCCCAAACATTGCCACAAACCCAGGACCAAGTATCCAAATATTTGGAGTCTATGAGGGACACTTATTCAAATCACCACAATGACTTCCTAGTCTTTCCTTTTCTGAGCCATCTTTTTCTGAACCCTGGGTGGGCATTGTGACTGCATCCTTCCTGGGCTCTCCCCCTGATCTTTTATCATGGAAGGTCCTGGAACCAATCCTCCATGGATACCAAGAATGACTCTATACATTTTCTGAAAAATGAGAATAAGATTCTCAAAATCTGTAGTGTCTTTCTTTCTATGTAATTATCAAAATTAAGATATTAACAAAGCCCTTATTCTAATTTAACCAACTATATCATTGGTGTTTTTAACAACGAAATCTTTTCTGGCCCAGGATCTAATCCCTAGCCAAGTATTGCCTCTAGTTCCTCTCTCTCTCTCTCTCTCTCTCTCTCTCTCTCTCTCTCTCTCTCCCCCTCTCTCTCTCTCTCCCTCTCTCCCCTTCTCCTTCCCTCCCTCTCTCTCTCTTTCTCTCCCTCTCTCCCCCCCTCATGTGTGTGTGTATGTGTGTACCACATGTATGTGGGTGCCCATGGAGGCCAAAACGGCATCAGATCCTGTGGAGTTGGAGTTATAGGTGCTTATAAGATACCCAATGTTTGTCTGGAACTTGCTGTGTAGACCAGGCTTGTCTCTATCTTACAGAGATCTGCCTGCCTCTGCCTCTTGAATGCTGAGATTAAAGGTGTATGCCACCACACCTGGCTCTCTACCAGGTCTCTTGAATGTGGATAGGTTTTTCAACTTTTGTCTTTCTAGATTACAGGTCACTTATTTTACTGAGAGTCCCTTAATTCAGTTTGTCTGCCATTTCTAGATTCAGGCTTGGCATTTGGGGAAAATCCTCCAGAGATGGTGTCTTTTCAGTGTGTCCCATCCACAGGTCCCCCAATCTCATTGTCTAACCATAGCCTTTCCTTCTTTTCCTCTGTTTGGCAATGCCCCCAGGATCTTTCCTTTCTTCCTGTTGATATATTTCCTCACTAGGTGTCTCCCTCATTTATTTCCTCAGAATGAACTACGAGGGGTGAGGGAAGAGCTTAAGGAAAAAATGGAGGAGATAAAACAGGTAACAGGATAAGGCTTTAGTAACATGGAAGAAAAGCTTCAAGAAAAATGCAACCCCTAACTTTGAGCTGTAAAGGAAATCAGCCATTTCATGGACATATCAATACATCTCATACCTAGTCCCCTATAGTGTTTAAATGCTGGGCAGCAAAGAACATTCATTTACTGATTTTTTCAAGTGACTAAAGAGTCCCTAATATATTGAGGTGATAGAACCTCAGCAATAAAGTAGGGGGCCTGACTAGGAACGGAGGTAGTGATAGACCATTGTATCCTCCTTAAGCATCTCCCCTGAGCAAGCTGCATAGCAAGAACCATCTTGTTTCTATGGTATAGCCACCTATAGCATACCTAGGGAACAGGGGAATCAAGCAGAAGCTGTAATTCAAGCTGTGGTCTGAGCTCCATGTGTAAGCTGTGTCAAGGCTGGTGGTAGTGGGGTGACTTGAGGGTATGTGTACCCTAGATCCTCCATAGATATATTGGGAAGAAAGTGGCTTATAGGATATTTTGGTCTATTCCCAAGGCCTGGCTGCTGCCCTTTATTTAAAATGCCTAATGGATTCTGTGATTGGCTTAGTTAATATTCTCTGTGCCTTGTGAAATCATGCTTTTCTTCCTCATTAGATAAAGGATATAATGGACAAAGATTTTGATAAACTTCACGAATTTGTAGAAGTCATGAAGGTAAGCTTTCACTGTATGCTGTCCATGGGTGACATGGGAAACTATGAAAGAGTTGTCAGGCTCCTGTCCTCAAGGTGCCTATAGCCCATTAAACAGAAATACAAGCTAAACTTCAGGCTGTCCAGCTTAGGGTTTAGAGGCACCGGTAATAAGTGTGGGAGGGAGCTGGAGAGACGTTCTCAGAAAGTGACCCTTGATGATTACACTGGAAACTTAAGAGACACTAACTGAAGGCCTAATATGGTTCCTTTTTAACTCAAAAACAAAACAGAACAAAACAAAACAAAACTAGAGGATAGTTTGGACCTTAGAGCAACAGCTCACAACTTTAGGGGTTATGTTGAGATGGGGCCCTTGTACTTTGCCCAAGTCCCCCTGGTAGAAGTTTGAGAACCTTTAATGTGGAAGCATAAACTGGCAAAAGTCAATAACTAAAATGTTTCAAGAGTTTTGAGGATTACTAGGCTTACCAAATAATTAAGCTCACGTAAAGCCATAGTTATCAAATCAGGGTGGTTAGTGATAAGCAGACAGATGGAGGCATGGGGGTAGGTAATGCCATAACATCTTGCCAGGTCTTGAGAACCCCTCAGAATTATATTAAATATCCATGCACCCGGACTCCTTCCAAAATCAAACAGAATAAAAACATTTTCAAGGTGGAGGGTGTTGCTTAAAACTGTACAAATGATTTTTAATTTTTTTTTTTTAGGTCAGGTGTGCTGGCACATGCCTTTAAGCTCAGCACTCGGGAGACAGAGGCAGGGGGGTCATGTGATTTTGAGTCCAGCCTTATCTATATAGTGAGACCCTGTCTTAAAAATAACTAAATAAATAAATAATTTTGAGACAGGGGCTCTCTATGTAGCACAGGCTGGCTTCCAACTCTTGATTACTCCTGCCTTCATCTCCTGAGTGCTAGGATTACAGGTACTCCTCAAATACCTGGCTTCACAAACAATCCGGATGTGTGTACTTGGATACAAACCAGGTCCTAAACACTCTAGTACATCTGTCAATCTTGGCTGCACATTAGAATCACCAGGGAGTGACTTGCTCCCTCCTGCCCCCTTAAACACAGGCTCTCTTCATAGCAATTAAATCAGAACCTTTAAGGGTGAGGTCCAGGTGTCAATGACTTTTAAATTTCCCCAGGTGATTCTAATGTATACTTATAGTTGAGGACCACATTTCTGTAAAGATTTAATAAGACAAAGGTGAATTCTTGTTTTCGGGGGGATGGCGCTGGGGGATTGAATCCAGGACTTCACATACTAGGCAAGCATTGTACCACTGAGCTATGTCTCCAGCCCTGTGATAAAGATGGTTTTTAAATGTCAGTGATAAGGAAAGAATTAAGGAATGATATTATGAACATTATTTGACTATATGAGGAGAAAACCAATTCCTCTATGACGTAGTCTATAAAGTGAGTTTAAATAAAAAACAATAAGAAAACGTTATAACTAGTATTTAAGTGTATACTCTAAATATAAACATAATGAAAGAAATTACACAATATTGATATCTTTAACTATATATAAGGAGTTTTTTTTTAAGGAATTATGAAAGAAAGCTGGGTGTGGTGGCACATGCTTTTAATCCCAGCACTTGGGAGGCAGAGGCAGGTGGATCTCTGTGAGATCAAGTCCAGCCTGATCTACATAGTGAGTTCTGGGTCAGCAGGGGCCCCTGTTTCAAAAAAAATTATGACAGAAAAATATCATATACAGAAATAAAAAATAATTTGTGGAAATAACAGCTGTGAGAAGAGCATAAGCATGGATAACGCAGAACATAACTAAGACACAATAAAGTCAAAGTAGCTTCACCTCCTGAAAGATCAAATACATGCAACTAAATAGCACATAATTCAGCTGCAAAGATGGCTCAGGGGTTAAGAGTGCATACTGCTTCTTCGGAGGACATCCAGTTCAGTTCCCAGCACCCATGTTGGGCAGCTCACAACTACCACTTTGCCTCCAAGGGTATCTGATGCCTCATGCACGTAGTTCGAAAAATAAGTAAATCTTTAAATAATGATTTTCACTGTGAAATAAGCAAAGTTTTGATTTATGATAACAAACTGCTGCTTGGAGTGCAAATTTGTACAAAACTAGAGTATTAGAAAATAGGCATTATTGATTTAATTTGCCAGAATTTAACCTATGAGACTATTCAGATTTTTGAGCAGAAACAATCACAATATCCAACAATAGAAGAGTAGCCCAATAAATTATGGTTTATTCATATATGACTATTAGGACCTATTAAAGACAATGTTATAATTCACCCTATAATGAGATGCAAGTAATATAAACAGGCTGATCTCACCTAAGTAAAAATTTAAGTAAATACATAGAAAAAAAGGAAAGAAATGTGCCAGAAAGGCAAATAGTAGTTATTTGGAGGTGAGAAGACTCGTTTGTTTTGGGGGGGGTGTTGTTGTTGTTTTTAATTCTCCTGTTTTATCTACATTTTCCACAAAGGGCATGTGTTCTTTCTATATTAACGTGCAATCAGCATGAGCACTTTGTTAGTGGGCTCTCTGGATATAGAAAAGCACAAAGGGGGCTATTTCAGGCAGGGAACAGCTTGGTCACAGCAGAGGCAGGACCAACAGCTCTGCCTCATTGGTCAGTAGGGAGACCAGCCACTAAGTGGGGTCATCTGGGGAACCTGTGAGGAACAGAACTGCATAGCAAAGATATGGGCACTGAAGGGTTTTTAAAAACATCTGACAAAATGGGACTTGGTTGGGAAAGCAGTGAGAGGTCTCAGGAGATTCTTAATCGAAGAACATACTGGGAGCAGCTGCTGGCAAGGTGACCTAGGAGGGACTGAGCATGTGGGGGTGGCAGCAAGAACACCAGGCAAGGACACTGTTCCCATAGGCGGCTAGACTGGGGTGGAGGAGAGAGACCACACTTGAGAGGAACTGAAGGAGACAGTGGTTCCCAGTGAGACACAACAGAAAACAAAGCCTTGAGAAACAAGTATCCGTGGTGACTTCAGAGTTTTCATCTGGATGGAGATGGAGGTAGTGGAGATGACAGGGAAGTTGGCACTGATTTGGAAGGGAAAAGAGCAGATTAGTGAAACTAGTAAGAATAAAGGACACTTTGACTGACATGCTCAAACTGAGGGGCATTTCTGACCATAAGGATATGTTAACACTATTCACATTATACTAATGTTTACAAAAGTTTTTCAAGTAGCTGTTTTCTGGAATCATCTACCACCCCCTTGCTAAACAGTATGACTTTTTAAAAATCAGTTTTCCACATCAGATTAAAATGGTTCAAAATCTTTAAATTAAAATTACTTTCATCAGAGTAAACTATTTTTATTTAATTTTATGGTGGTCATTCCAAATCAGTTCTGTCCTTTACTTTAACTACTATTTAATTTATTTTTATTTTATTTTTGGTCTTTCTGTAAGATTTTTTTTATGTGTATGAGTGTTATGCCTGTGTGTATGTAAGTGCACCCATATTGTGCAATGCCTTCAGAAGTCAGAAGAAGGCATCACATGCTCTGGAACTGGAGTTACAGATGGTTATTAGCCACCATGTGGGTGCTGGGAACTGAACCCAGGTCCTCTGCAAGAGCCAATGCTCTTAACTGTTGAGTCATCTCTCTAGCCCCTAGAATTTTTTTTTAAAGGAACAAACGCAAAGACACAGGAGGCAAGGGTCAAAACACTGAAGTTAAAGTGTCTTTGAGTTCCCAAGATGTGCTTTCTTAATGCCATCTTTTCACAGACATCAATAAAGAGCAGCTCTGGGCTTTATATCTGAAGTCAGGTAAAACTGCTCCTGCTCTCTGGCTCACCTGGAGGCCAGCATCAAGTCTGTTACGACTCTGCTTGTGCTCTAGTCTCATCATGGAATAGGTTTGTGGGGGGTCAGGGACATGCCCCATCAGGCCCCTCAGCCAAGTCTAGGGAAGATTCTTGGACAGATAAGATGCAGGGTAGTTTGCAGCAAGAGGTGGGAGAAAGGGATTTCCAACTCTTTTCTGAATGAAGATTTTAGGGTTCTCTCTTGAAGGAAATGCAGAAGGATATGGATGAGAAGATGGATGTTTTAATAAACATACAGAAGAACAGCAATCTGTAAGTGTAACCCTCATCCCTAAGGATTCCTCCTTTCCCTTGGCCCAGTGCTCTTAGGGGCTCAGAGGATATTGTCTTGGCCTCTACTGCTGCAAAGGCTGGAAGTCAAGGTTTTCCATGGTCACCTGTGTACCCATAGACACTGTCTCCCCAAATCTCTGTCCCTCCCTGACCTGCCAGTCCTCTCCAAAGACAGCCAGAGGAGCAGCAGGAACTTGGGCTGATGGGAAAGACTGACACAGACTCCCAGCTCAGGCTCGAGAAAATGGATGAGCTCGATGAAGCATCATTGACTAGTCATAAGACAGCACCACAAAAAACAAATGACCCACTGGATTCCCTTCATCCTTGTCAGAGCTGCTGCGTAAGTGAATTCTTGCCCACTCCCAGCACTGGTGCTAGAGCCCTTCTTCAGAGTTCTTGCTGTAAAGGACTGGCCCTACCACACTGCCAGCCCATGGATGCCTCCCTTAGTCTAGAACCCCTTTATCTGCCTTGCCTTCTAGGCTGTGGTGTTTCTTAAGCCATGATCATGTAGGTCAACCCCGGATATGCTTGCTCCCAAGTTCCACTGCATTATTCTGTCCTTTCCTATAGCAAGACCTGACGAGGTGTCCAGCAGGCTGGCCATCTTGGACCAGGGAAAAGTGATCTTTCTTGTGCCGTTTCTATCCTCTGCAGGAGAAATGTTTGTTGTGTGCCCAAAAGACCAACTACAATCAGGGGTAGGTAGATCCATACAAGAAGCTCCTTCTCTCAGCTGGGTGTCATTATCCCAAAGGGAACATGCTCCAACTTCCTTCACAGCAAGCCCCGTCTAGGGTTGTGCAGGGCTTAGGGACTGTTAGTGGATTCTTCCCCCTACCATAACCACTCAGGCATAGAGGATGAAGCACCAGGAAGGAGGATTTGGGTAGCCAAGCCTAAGGCTGCTACCCACAAGCTCCCTTGGTGGGGAGGGTATGCCTGCAGCTGCAGCCTCTACCTGGCCCCAGGTTCCCACCTTCCTTCTACCTAGCAAGAAACCTACACACCAGGCCTGGGCACCCTTTTCACCCTTGCCATCTGGAGCTGCCTTCTGACTTACCTGTACATCAACCTTGATGAAATGGAGTATGTGCTTCCAACCTAGTACAGCCACAGAGCCTGCCACCAGCTCTGGTTCATCCTCTCCCAACTCCTTGAGCTGTCCAACAGGGGCTTGCTGCCCTTTTTAAACATCTCCCCTGCCCAAGCCTCCATGTGGAGATTAAAAACATTCATTTAAAGCCAAAAGAAGTGTCACCATTTTGAGTACCAGTCCAAAGTTTGGGTGTCCAGAACATTACTCTTTCTTTCTAAATCAGCAGACACCAGCTCCTCTTCCTGTTGTTGGCAGATGGGACTTTCCATCTTATTGATCCCAGGCTTTCCTTCCTGCTCTTCCCCACTGTCCTATCTCCATTCCACATGACTCTAAAAGGTCCCAGGTCAGAGCCCTGAGAGGCCCCTGAAGATATGGTGCACCAACCTGTGTCAACTCAGGACAGAGCCCACCGCCCTCTCACCCCTCCCCCAACTCTCAGCTTTTACAATATGCATGTGGCCTGGGCGTCATGGGTAACTTGGGAAGTCTCTGGACCTCAAGTCTGGCTGGCCTGTGTTGCTCCCCTCTGAGATCTTGTCACCAAGCAGGACTCAGATTCCTGTTGGTCATAGGTGCTTGGTGCCTTTCTTCGGCTCTGGTGGGCTCTACCTTCTTTACCTTGAGGGTTTCCTCTCCCCTCCCTCCACTCCAAAGGAGCCATGTCCCTTCAAAGGCTTTTTACAAACTGGAGATGAGCTGATAAGCACCCAGCCTTTCCCTGGTCCACTCTTTGCCTGCCTCAAGTCTCTATCTGAGCAAAGATGAAAATGGATGTTAGCTTAAAATGAGAGAAGAAAAATGTAGAGAAAACCATTTTAATAAACTACCCTGTCACATGTGTGCTTCTTTGGCGTCAGTTTGCAGAAAAGGGATGAATGGATTTTGGTATTTACTGCACAGCAGTTCTTTCTTATTTCATCTGTGTACTACTTTGACTGTTTCCACTTTCGGATGGTAATAACCAGTCAAGCTCGTGACAGTGGCACAGTAATACACAACACATTTGTTCCTTCAGATACACATTTTAAAAACAAAAGCCAAAACACAATGTGGGCCTTGTTCTCTCAAGAAGCTTATGGTTTTAAAAAGAGCTGGTAAACATGCATAATAAAATGCATTTGTTGACCACCTATAAATAAGTACAATAATCAAAAATGTGAGGATAACAAATGGAGCAGAAGGCCGCATACATGGCTGTGTTTTTCTGATGGTTACTACTAACAGATTACTACAAATGTAATGGCTGAGGGAAACAAGAAATGGATCTCCCTGGCTAAGGTGCTGGCGGGCTTACATTTGTGTTGGAGGTTCTTGGAGAGAATCTGCCCTTGCCCTTTCCAACCTCCATAGTTGCTTACATTCCTTAGCTTGTGGCTGCCTCCCAGCTTCAAACCCAGCTATGGCCAGTGGGTCTTTCCCAAGTCGTATCACTCTAATACGGTCTCTGCTTCCTTCTGCTTCCTCTTAAAGGCCTTTGTGATTACACTGAGCCAACCTGTATAATCCAGAGTGTTCTCATTGTAAGTCTAGCTGATTCACAACCTCAATTCCCCATTGCCGTGGAACGTAACGGTCATGGGTTCAGAAAACTGAACTTGGATATCTTTGGAGGACATATTCTGCCACCACTCTGGACTTCCTAGGAGGCCCCAATCCCTTGCCAAACTACCAACTCCCCCAACATTTTGAAATGTTGCACTTTCTTTGGGGTGGCTGTTTTGTTTTTTTTTTAATTCCTCCATCACTCTCTACTTCATACTTTATTTTTCGTCTCTAGAAGTTCAGTTAGGCATTTTACACTTTCTGTAGGGCACAGGTGAAGGTACACTGAGGCCGTAGAAGAGTAATGGGAAAATGATGGAAAGCCTCTTGGTGCCTGGGAGTGGGAATGGTCCAACATCAAGGCTGGGTGCCCAGGTCCATGTGTGGAATCAAGACCATAGTGGCCATCAAGGGAGATGAGAGGTCCAGTCTTAAGAATCAGTCCTCCTAAGACTAGAATCTGAAAATGACAGAAATCTCCCCTGTCCTGAGGATAAGCCCAACACAGAGGGAAAGCCACTGCCATACACAATCTGGGACTTCAGGAAGGTGTTGTGGGGAGCAGTCACTCAGAGAGGGATGAAACTCTTCCATCCTCCAATCTGCTCTACCATCAGCTTACCACCAGAGGATTGTGGAACCATGGCTCACAGTTGGGAACCACAGCTCCAGCTCACTGGAGGGGACCACAGCTCCAGGTTCACAGGAGAGGACCACAATTCCAGCTCATGGGAGGAGACCACTGCTCCAGGCTCATGGGAGGGGACATAGCTCTGGATTCATGGGAGATGATCACAGTTCAGGCTCACAGGAAGGGACCACAGCTCCAGGCTCATGAGGGGGTGGGGGGTCATAATTTCAGTTATGTTGGTTCCTATTATTTTCCTGTTTCCATGACTTTGTCCATATGATTATACATGTGTTTAAAAAAAAGCATTTTGACTTCTGTTCAGCAGAGGCAACAGTTAACTTTCTGGCTTGAATCTCTTGCTAGAGGGACATCACTATTGGAGAAAGCCACTTTTTGCTTTTGTTCAAGGAGACAGATTGATCAAGGGTTTTCTTTTTCATGGTCATGGACTTGGCTGACTTCTTTGGAGTCTGCTGTTTTCATGTCTTCCTCCATAGTCATGACGAGAGCCACTGCTGCTGCCATTGCTTCCGGGACCAGAGCTGCACTGCCGCCATCGCTCCAACTATGTTCTTTCTTGTTTGCCAAGTCAGTTCCAGGGGGATACAGTCCATCTTTGTGGTGAAGACAAGACAACAGGCAGGGAAGGCATAATGGCCAGGGCAGGATGCTGGGTGGTCACATTGCATCTGCACTCAGGAAGCAGACAGTGAACAGGAAGTGCAGTTGGCTTTAGGTTCAGATGGTTTTACTGCTGAATTATCTTAACCCTTTTTGAGGTTAAAGCCACAGTGGTAAGTCATTAGCCTAAACTGGCAGCTACCTTGGATTCCAGGAACAGCAAAATCTATGGTGTAGGAGCAAGAGTCGTCATCTCCTGGGAATCACCTTGTTCCCTGTCGTGGTTTGAAGGTGAAATGTCCCCTTATAGGCTCATGTATCTGAGCACTTGGTTCCCAGTTGATAGCTGCTTGGGAAGGTTGTGGAACCTTTAGGAGGTAGAGCCTTACTGAGGAGTTGAGTCTTTTTTTAAAAAAGATTTTTTTATTTTATGTGTATGAATGTTTTGCCTGCATGTATGTAAATGCATTCATATATACAATGCCTGCGGCAGCCTGAAAAAAAACCATCAGATCGGAACTGGAGTTATGGATGATTGTTTGACATGTGAGTTCTGAGAACCCACCTGGGGTCCTCTGTAAGAGCAGCCTGCAGTGCTAATAACCACTGTGTCTTCAGTCCAGGGTGGTGGTTTTAAAATAGACCCAAGGGGCTGGAAAGATGGCTCAGCAGTTAACAACACTGATTGTTCTTGCAGAAGACCCGGGTTTGAATCCCAGCACCCACATGGCAGCTAACAACTGTCCATAACTCCAGTTCTAGGGGATCCGACAGACTCGTCTGTCTTCCGTGGGCATTGCACAACATGAGTGCACTTACCTACATGCAGGCAATACATGCATACACATAAGATAAAAATAATAAAATATTTTTAAGGGGGCTGGAGAGATGGCTCAGCGGTTAAGAACACTGACTGTTCTTGCAGAAGACCCACGTTCGAATCCGAGCATCCACATGGCAGCTAACAACTGTCCATAACTCCAGTTCCAGGGGATCCGACAGACTCTTCTGACCTCCCCAGGCCACTGCACGACATGGGTGCACTTACCTACATGCAGGCCATACATGCATACACATAAAATAAAAATAAAATAAAATTTTAAAAAATATTTTAAAAATGGACCCACAAAGCTTTGGATACTCCTTTGTTATTCTTTCCTTCTAAAAGAATCTAATTCCTCTCCTATGAGTGTAGGCTAACTATAGTAACTATGAATAGAACATGGTAGAAAAAATGGAGGTTACTTCTGAGACTGAGTCATAAAGATGCACTGGCTTCCATCTTGCCGTCCTTAAACACTCTTCTGGTGAAACCAGCTACCATGCTATGAAGACACTACGGCAAGACTCTGAAGTCTCCTGCAAAGAGCCATCCGAAGGTACCATATTAGAAGTGGGTCTTAGACTGGGACTGTAACTCAGTTGACTGAGTGATTGCTTAGCATGCCCTGGGTTCAGATCCTCAGTACTGCATAAACTAGTCCCATCTGCCAGTTATAAAAGCACTACTGTTATTCATGAGGGCTTTGTCATTGAGATCTAATCACCTCCAAAAGCCCCACCTCTTAATGCAATCCCCTTGGGGACTCATTTTAATATACACATTTTAGAGGCAGATAATCATTGGCATCTTCTTACATCTGCAATTAGAACAAACTCTAGGCTCTTCCCCACATCCCTTTACTGCTTCTTAGGGGCCTGTTTCTCTGCCTTCTTGGGAGGTTGAAGGTTGAGATCAAGCCTGTCTTGCTCAGCACCAAGGCTCCAGAATTAATGCATTTGTTCCTTGAATAAGTAGATAGTACTTAATCAGTTTCAACCCTCAGGGAGCAGAAGATGATATTCAAATCCACATGAGCTGTAAAGAAATCAGACTGGTTCTGATCTAAAGTCTATACTCATTAATTAATGATGGAAAAGGAAACTGGTCTGGATCAAAAGAGAAAGCTCCTGTCATCCTAAAATACATTCCCCAGTTCTGTTCTTCATGGTTAGGAAAACAAATTTTTCCTTTCTGAATGAAGTGTCCATAATCATAACTTAACTGGATTAATTGGAAAATGTTTCCCCCAGCTTTTTGCTCATTAGCATTCATCTGCCAGCTTATTATTCCTAAGCCGGCTGAGATAGGAATGTAAATTTGTTTGAGAGGAACCAATGTC